TTAGCACAAGCCCCAGAGCTGCCCTGCCCATGCCATTCGCTCCCAGGGAGCGAGTGACCCTGGCGTGCTGCCCCTGGCTGCAGCCTGGCACAGGGGACATGCTGGAGTGGGTCTGGGTACCAGCAGCTGCGGGCACCATGCATGCTGCAGTGCCCCAGCATCGGCTTGGCCGCTCTGGCTTGGAAAGCCTCAGGTAGGAGCATCTGGCTCAGCTGCCTTCAGACCAGGATGGGCTCCTGAAGGCAGGATCAGGGACAGAAAAGGATCACAGCCCCCACCCAGCTTCATGCCCTTCTGGAAGCAGCTTTGTCCAGCTCGGCCCCGTGCAGGCTGGGGAAGCAGCTGCTGAGTCGCAGGGGATGTTGTGCGAGGAGCCCCACGGCCTTTTGCTCCCCAGAGCCTCTTCTGCAGGGGTACGCAACCAGGGAACCGGTCCCCAGAGGATGTGGGACAGTGCCAGGGGCCATGGGGTGGTCTTGGGGTATGCAGGACCCTGCTGGCACGTGCACCCCTCTCCCTGGGGGCACCCAGCTCGCCCTGGCTTGGGTGCAGCCTCACCTTCAGCACGCCCTGCTCAGCAGCCGCCTTCACCTTGGCTAAGGCAGACCTGAGCCGTGCGTTCTCCTGCTCCAGCACGCTAATCCGGATGCTGTTGGCCTGCAGCTGCTTCTCCATGTCCTTGGTCAAGTTCCCGGTGCCTGCAAACAAAGTACGATGTCCTTCGGCAGGAGCCAGAGCTCAGCCCGCTGCCGCCTGCCTGCTCGGAGGTGTTGGCAGCAGCCCTCCTCCCTCCCAAGCAGGGGGGCTGCCCACTGGAAAGGAGCCTGCCCCAACAGGGGAGCACCAGCACGGCCTGGAAGGCGGTAGCTGGGACCCAAAACTGTGCCAGCTGACACCATGAGGGCAAAGCTCTGCCCATGCCCTGGCCCTGCTTTACTTCCTGGCCTAGAAGTGGGATGAACAGCACCCACACAGGGAGGTGCGGAAAGATGGTAGCGGCTTAGCACAGCCCATGGACTGAGCCCTTCCTGGCTATTAGTGGGATAACTGTGTTGTACAAATAATGCTGGCGCATCCAGGGCTGGCAGGATCCCCTGCGAGCTCCAGGAGACCCCGAAGGCGCAAGCCCACTGCGGCGAAAGCAGGCACTGCTGCCCTCTCCCTTACTCTCAAACTGCGTCTCAACGGGGACGTGGAGCTCAGGGAAGAACACCAGGAGCCTCTCCCGCTCCTTCAGCTCCTGCGCCTGCTCCTCCAGCTTGGAGACATTCGCCTGCAGCTCCGAGACAGACTGCTCCAGGCTCAGCTTCTCCCGCTGCAGTGTGTCCAGCAGCTCCTGCATGGCACAGCAGAGAGGCGGTGAGGACAAACCTCAGGACGGTACAGTCTGGGGGAGTCCCACAGGAGTACTCAGAGCCCCAAGGAAAGCTCCCGCCCTTTCCTTATGTGACAAGGATGTCTCACAGCAGTGTGATGAAGTGCAGGGTCTCGGTTGTAAGGTCCCCATGTGAGTTGGAAGCAACAGCACCAACAGTGTTCCTGGACACGCACAATACGATGTGTGTCCAGGAACAGGAGCGTTGGGAGACACGGGAGAAGCCCGAGTTCCTGCTTCCTGCTGCTTCCCTCTGCCTTGGCCGCGGGGTAAAGCAGCAGAGACCTGTCCAGGCAGGAGAGGGGTCTTCCCCAGGGGGTCCCAGGAGGAGATGGCCACGTGGCAATGTCACACCAAGTCCTAGAGTCCCCTTCCTGGGAAAACTCTGGATGGGGGGCAGCTGGTGGCTCCTGACACCCTCATGGCACAGCTCTGTCCCGCACCAGCTGCTCCCCAGGGAGCCCCGCTCCTGGCAGCACCCCAGATGCGTGCTGGCTGCCAGCACTGACCTGCTGCGCCCGTAGCTGTTGCCCGCTCTGCTCCCGGCTCTCCTCCAGCTGCTCTGCCAGCCCGGCCTTGTCCTCCTCGGCCTCTCCCAGGCTGGCTTGCAGCTCCTCACGCTCCTGGTCCAGGCTGTCGAGCTGCTGCAGCAGGGCCCTCTGCTTGGCCTGCAGGGACTGTACAGGGCGGGCGAGCCTGCATGGGGCTGCTGCTGCACCCGCTCACCACCGCCCTTATGCCAGGCAGCACCCACGATGACAAGGGGCTGTGGCAGCGGCTGAGAGGGCAGAGAAGGGGTGCAGGGCAAGGAGGGCTCAGCCAAAGCCATGCAGAGCTAGTGCGGATGGAGGGTGAGCTCCTCAGGGCCCAGGACCACGAGTGGGATCTCTGTACCACCCCCTCCTACACACTGGCTTAAGGCCAGGGTGTGAAAGAGCCGGCCTGAGCTCAGCCCACTCCCACAGCATGCTGTGGGACTGCAGAGCAGCTCCGCAGTGGGGCAGAGTGGCAGCAGCAGGCCCATCCATACCTCCTGGTGCCTCAGCATGCTCTCCACTTTGGCCTTTTCCTTCTCCAGCTCCGTGGTGGTGGTGCTCAGCTCCTGGCCCAGGCTCTCCCGCTGGCTGGTGAGTAGCTGCACCTTCTCCTCCAGCTCCAGCACCTGGCTCCTGGCCACCATCGTGGTCCTCATCTCCTCCAACAAGGTCGTCTTGGTCACCTCTGGGGAGACACAGCACCTTTGGGCCAGGCTCAGCAGGAGGGGGAGAAGCTCCCAGATAAGATGGCTTGAAGGGGTCCCACACCCTCCACAGGCCCTGGCGAGGGGGAGGCAGGTCTGGCAGGAGGGCTGCGACCCCCTGAATCTCCACCAGCACCAGCATGAGCCCACTCTGGTGCTGGGTGATGTTTAGGCACTGCAAAGAAGGAGGCTCGTCTTCCCCCCCATTCCCACCAGCGTTATACCCGACCGATTCTGGGGGAGCCGGCAGTTACGTGGGTGTAAAACACTCATGAGGTCGGAGCGAGGCTGGGGGAGAGATGTGCCAGCTGGGTGAGCCCCAGGGGTCCTTACCCAGCTCCTGCACAGCAGCTTGCTTCGCAGCCAGCTCCTCCTTTAAGGCAGAGAGTCGCTCTTCCAGCAGAGCCGCTCCTAAATCAGCACAAAAACTCCACTAATTAAACAGCTCCTCAAAGAAACGACAACAAAGAGGCAGCAAACGGCCACGCCAAAGCATTTTTCACCCAGTGATTGTATCATGCTGTGCTTCAGCAGGGAGGAGGCAGTGAGAGGATGTGGACAACCAGCTCCCACTGTCTGGGGTTAGTCTCATGGCAGGGAACAGCCCCGGTGCCTACCAAAATCAGTGGCAAAAGCCCTACTCATGGCGGTGAGACCAAGATTTGACCACGGACTCCATGCTTCTCTTGCAAATACCCGCAGGCCTGGGCGGGGATGCTGGGAACAGAATTGTACCTCTCCGTAGGTCGTCCTTGTCCCGCTCCAACCTGGCTACAGCCTCTAAATACTCTTTGTTCTTTACTTCCAGGTTCTGCTCAGCCTCCTTCCTCTGCTGTGCTTGGGTCTCCTTCTCCGCCTGAAGCAACCGGGAAAAGTCCTCAACCTGTTTCTGCAGCTTGTCCTTCTGTTTCTCTGACTCTTCCAGCTCAGACTTCAGAGGGTTGACCTGCTGCAGCAGCATCTGGAGGTGTTTGCTGATCCGGGAGAGGTCCTTGCTCTGCTCTGAGGCCCAGTAGCTCATGTCCGTTGCAGAGAGGGTCCTTCTCCCTGTGCTCTCCTCCACCATCTCCTGGAACCTGCTCAGAGCTGAGGGGATGTTCTGGCTCTGGCAGATGCTGGTGATGCCTTTGCCGACCTCACGGAGGCTGGCTTGGGCACTGGCGCAGGTGTCGCAGGGTCCCAGAGACGACCCAGTTGTCTGTGTGGGGATGCTGCGGCTGCTCTCGGCCATGCTGCAGGCAGCCCTGCGCAGGTTGCTGCCCGAGGCACCGCTGTCTGGTGCACAGACACTCAATGACGGGCGCAGAGAAGTGGACTGGGCAACTTCTGTGGAGGTTCTTAACTCCAAAACATCAGGTGAGCGGTGTTTCAAGTGCTCCTTCTCAGGTTTCCCAGCCTGGGAAGTGGATTGCAGTGTGGGGATCTCCTTCCTGCAAGCCTTCTTCTGGTGGAGAGAGCACAGAATAAAAACAGGGCCCAGATTAAACACTCAGCTGCAAATGATCCATAAGAGCCAAATACAGAGGTGTGAAGCAGGGGGACAGGACATTAGTGTAGCCAAGGGGCTACGAGGGCAGCGAGCCCTTCTCTTGGGAGGAGAGAAGTTCCCAGAGGTTGGAGGAGGACAGCTACCAAGCGCTGGGGTTCCCTGTTTACTGTGCTCCATTAGAACCAAAGCACGTGGCTAACAAGCAAAATGAATTTGCTTCCCACTCCCTGATGCGGGGTACAGGGGAATTGAATCTTTACAAGCTGCCAGGCAGCTTTCCAGCCACCGCTACCAGAGCTGTGGTTTCACGACGGGAAACCTCGGCAGTGAAACTTGCTCCCCGGCTCCACTTCTTGTGACCATCCTTTCTTTCCCACCTCCTGCGCTGTCTCCTGGTTATGCCAGATGAATTATTGTGAGACTTTGCCACAAAAGTGATCATTTTTTGGGAAAAAAAAATAATGCAAGGGAGTGGTGTAGTGTTTTTACCACAAACTATTTCACTGATTTGAGCCAGCTCAGCCCACAAACAGCAGGGTTGGCTGAGCTGCAGGGGCAGCATGTTGGCAGGAGGAGAGTATTTTTCCAAGCAGTAAGGGCAGCCAAGCTCCCCCATCCTGATATCCTGGTGGATGCCTGGAGGAGGATGGATCCAGCGGCATGGCTGGGAGCGGTGTTTAAAGGAGGGAAGGGACTCAGGTAGGGAGGGGACAGTGCGGGACAGATGTGTCCTGACCTACACCCAGGTCAGCACTCGGAGGATCATGAGTCAGGAACACATCAGGCATGGCCACTGCACAAGTCATGGGGCATCCCCGAGAAGGACCGTGACCTCAGCATCGTCCAAATCACGGGGGGTGAGGCAAGGGCCATTTCCGTGACCCCTGCACTCAGCACGTGGGGTGTCAGGGCCCCCAGATGTCCCACCTCGGCCAGGAGCTGCTGGTAGAAGGCCCCCAGTTTCAGCATGCTGCACCAGTACCTCCTTGCCGTCAGCCCCGCAGACATGCAGGGTCCCACTGCCCGCGCCGGGGGGACGGCTCGCTCGCTGAGCAGGTTTTCTGCGTAGCCTGTGAAGCTTTGAAGCAGCAGCAGCAGTCTTCTTCAACAGAAACGAAACACAGCTTAGGGCAACGGAGTATTTGTAATGGGGAAAGGGCCCTTGGTGTTTAACAGCACAGTGAGCCTGAAGGGCCAGTGCCAAGGCAAGGGAGGTTGTCCCCCCTCCCCATCCCCTGGACAAAGAAAGTTTGGCAAAGGGGGGTGGATATCAGTGCTCCTGTGACCCCCCCCCGGGCCTGAATCACTCCACGGAGCAGTATTGGGTAGGATGAAAATCCTCCTGGAGCTGCCAGGAGACAGGCTGCGCACGCTGCTTACAGCCAGCCACTTTCAAGAAGCTCCAGTTAGGCTCTCCTCAAAGATTTGGGGCACCCACGCTGCCAATATCAAACCCCAATTGTTAGGGCTAACAGCTCCGTGGGAATGGCTCATCTTTTAAAAACGGAGTCGTATTTATTTCAACCATATTGCAAAAGGCACTTTTGCACCCCAGGCCTGTAGGTGCAGCTGTGTCTGAGTGTTTCGAAGGTTTCGGGGGACAATATAATCAGCCTGCCCCATCTGCCCAGGTGCCCTTGGCTCCCGGGCGGAGCAGCGGCTTGCTCTGCTCCTTTGTGGCCAGCATTTTGGCTGGTAGCTCTGAGCTCTGCGCAGGGAAAAGAGTTGGATTTTAAAACTCAGCGTAGAGCTGCGGAGCATGAGGCCGAGGTGCTGGCACACTGCTCATCGTGGAAACGCGTGGGAAAAAAGCATCCAAAACACTCGGCTGCGTTTGACAGGCTGGACACACAACCGT